GATCTACCAATGGTGGTGGCCTGCTTAGTGGCACGGAGTGCAAGATCTGTGGTGCGACGCAACTCAGCCACCTCATCAGGGGATAGACCCTGACCTTTATCCAGGTCTTTCAACAGATAAGCCTGAAGCACCGCCATGGTATGCAACGAGGCTGCAGCCGGACCTGCTGCCACGTATGCCCTGCCATTCAAACGAGATGTATCCTGAAGGGGTTTGGATGGCAGGGAGAGAGCCTTAAGAGAAGATGTCTCCCCTATAGTGGGCCAGCGTCTCTTCAACAGGGGGCATCTTCTCATAACCATTCTCACGCATCCCCTCAATGTTGGCATAACTAGTATGCTGGAATCTATGGATGCGAGACGAGAATGGATTTTTCCAAGCCTTCTCGATCTCCACATGGAGATCGGGAAGAAATGGAAGGCTCACCTGAGCTGGAGGGCGATGGCTAGAAAGAAATCTCTCGTCAAGGCGGCCTCGAGGTGTCACTTTCTTGGCCCTCTTCCATGGCAAGTCAAGCCTCGCCGTGGCGCGATCCATAACCTCAAGCAGCTCATACGCGGGGCAGGAGGATTGGGAGGACTCAGTCTAAACTTCTTCGTCCTCATCTGACATCTCCTGCTCATCCTGGCTTGGAGCCAGCAGAGCACTAGCCGCTGGATCAGGCGATGTAAGAGAGATAGCATTGTCGTCCAGCAGCTCACTCTCGACCATGAGTGATGAGCGTGAAAGGGAAAGACCCTTTTTCAACTCATCAGCCAGGTCCACCTGCGATCCCCACAAGCTCATTTTCCTCCGTGCCTCAGCAGCAGAGGGTCCTGAACCATGGGGAGCTGATGGCTGTCCCTCTTTCCTTGAAAAGAGAGACAAACGAGAGTGGAGCTTTTTCATAGGAAAATGCTCACAGTGCACGCAAACTGCCCCCTTGAGGACAACGCGCGCGTGCTCTTCGGCCAAACAAAAGACGCAAAGATCGTGTGTGTCATCAGGTGTCAAATAACGAGGACACGGATCCACACACTTCTTAAACGCCTTACTAGTAGGGATGGCTGACGTTGGAAACTGACGTTTCGACACGGTGTCGAGATCCCGAAGCGTAGATGTTTTGAAACACTGCTCCGAAGTGTGATTTGAAACACCCATGTCATGTGACTAAGGCGAATCAACACATCGGTGCGTTTCACAAGTGTTTCGAGACCCGAATCTGCTTTTGATCGACAGGGTCAGGAACAAACCACACAGTCGCACATCTGTCTTAACCTAACTCCCGCAAAGTATAAAAGTGGAGTTAATGCAGCAGAACAATTAATATATTTAAATAAAAATCTTTATATGTAAAAAATGCCAGGCGTTGTGGCTTGATGTCTTTTATTAATGTTAATTTTTTCAAGACCAAAATAACATTCACAAAGAGTTAATGCAGTTGTCAGAGAGATGTTACAACACATTACAAGAAAAGAACAATAAAAACACAACTTTCAAATATTTATTATAATTATACACATGCTTCACCCAGGGTTTCGAACCTAAAGTGACAAGTTCTGACAACATGCCAATCGTGCACACTAACCACTCCCCCAACCCACATGGTGGAATGATGAGCACAACATACACGTTATAATTCGTCAATTCGCCTAACTGATTAGTTGTCAATGCTGTTTCGGAGCAATACTTGAAAAAGACCACTAGGTGTCACCGTAGAGGCGGTTGTCGAAATGTAATGTCAAATGTCAAGCGCATTTGCTCTCCGCCGACTGCGCTGATCAAAAGCATGATGGGAAACGACTGACTGACGACAGCTTAATGCTCATTGGTTCAGACAACTGTGATGCTGCGGTTCTCTTCTAAAATATTTAATTTTTTTGTCTGATTTCATGTGATTATGTATTTAAATTATGCATGAATGTTCCCAAAGACTATGACAGTGCGATCTCTGTGTGAGATAATGTGATTGTTGTCATATTTCTATAAAAATCTAAAATGTTTGTATTAAAGTAAAAATGGATGATAAATACACCTTTCGTGTGAAATTAAATAGCAAGCACTTTGAGTGTGTTGTTCATCATATTTATTTTCATATAAAAGCAACAGAACTGAAATTGTATCATGTTTATTACCAACAAAGCATGCAAGTGAGAATAACGCGATATCTGCCTTTGATCTCGTTGGTATCTGTTCCACTTCGAAGTTCGAGAGGTCAGAACTGTCCGTCTTGACTGTGCTTATTTCACTCCTCCCCTCACTGCAGCCGCCTACTCTCGCCTACATTTCAGGCGAGGTGAGGCGCATCTCAAACAAGCCTAATCTGACACAGCTGCCTCACCGTCGCGAGAGTTTTTTGGCACACGTCAGCATGACATCAGAGCAAGTCGGACGTAACTTTTCTACACTTTTCTAACCGGCATGCATTCTAACCGGTGATCGGTTCTGCGCAGATTTTGATCATCTCAAACAAGCCTATTGTCACGTTTAGATGTATGCTTCAGACACCGGTCATGCTGAAGGCGTTCCCCATAGCGACCTCTAGAGGACGCAGTTCGAAGTTCCCTCGGAAGGGAACTAAGTACAACCCTATTTCTAGAAAAGTTGGAAAGTTTTGTAAAATGATCAAATCTGTGATTTGTTAATTCTGTTTAACTTCTGTTTATTTGATTGACAAAAGTACAAAGAAAAGATTTCCAAAGTTTTCACTGACCAACTTAAATGTATTTTGTAAATATAAACAACATTTTATTTTGATGTTTGCAACACACTCCAAAAAAGTTGGGACAGAGGCAAAATAAAAGTGAAAAGGTTGTAGAAGAATAACCAAATAAACTTTTGAAACAGTTCACAGCAAGCAGGTTTGGGTATAAAATGAGCTTCTCAGTCTTTGCAAGCAAAGCTGGATCATGGCTCAAAATTTGTTTATATTAACAAAATAATATGAAGTTGGCCAGTGAAAACATTGGAATTTTTTTCTTTGTACTTCAGTCAATTAAATCAAGGTTAAAGAGAACAAACGACATATTCTTGATTTTATGGCATTTCACAAAACGTCCCAACTTTTCTGGAACTGGGGAGAAAGATTGGATACAATTGCTCCTCATTTTCAAAATAGTTACAATTTTAGTGTTGTCCTGATTTATATATTTGTTATAGTCAATTAAATTTCAAAACTTGTTTTTTTTTTGTCAGTGTGGTGTGCCAGCAAAATAATAATAATAATAATAAATGTTTCTTAAGCAACACTCAGCATGATTTCTGAAAGATCACAAATACAAGTGACACTGAAAGCTGGAGTAGTGAAGCTTAGCATGAGAGGAAAGCACATATTAAAATATAATATAAAGCATTTTCTTTTCAAATGGTAGATTTACTGTTTTTACTGTATTTTTTAAACAAAAACAAATGCACAAAATACCAACAAAATACATTTTTTAATTAATCTATTAACAAATCTTACTGTCCTTTTTTTAATGGTAGTGTATTTTATTTATAATATATAGGCCTATTTTAAAAGCATGTAGCCTATTTTAACCCAAATATAACAGCACACATTAGCCCATACATAATTTTTTTTTTTTTTTTAAATGTCATTGAATGCCACATGACATTTATCACATATTTGATTTGACTGGACTTGAAATATCATTATCATTAGTTTCCCAAGGAGCAAAAAAAGCCACGTGGAGCAAACAAAAAGCTATCATAATTGTTCTAAACAAGAAAAAGCATCTCATGCTTTATTGTGTCTAAATGTTTATGTTTTGACGGGAAATTCGGCAGCTGTGCTACGTTGCGTTAAGATCCCGTTATAATCGGTCATTCAGTAACTGAGCGCAAGCGCTACAGTAAACAAATGCTGCGTTCTATTTCTGACGCATTCCACGCACTTGCGCTACCGACAAATTGATATAGAAAGTGCGCTTTGATGCATCCAGTACAGAGACGGCGTTAGGATGTGGCAGTCAGACCATTTTCTTTTGCAAGTTTCAGCTCATACAACTTTGGTGAAAACTCGCCTTAACCAAACGCCCCGCAAGAACACCTCAGCTCCCCCTTTCAAAAATATTGCTTCCAGCGCCCCCCGATGCTCCCCAAAGCGCCCCCGTTGAGAAACACTGATATACAAAATAATAATTTGAATTCTGCTTTCCTATGTACTATAGTTTTATTTTTTATAAAATGTTTTATGCATCTGAATTTGTCTTAATAGTGATCTTCTTAACAGAAAGACATTACTTAAACAATTATGCATATTCACATTACTCAAATATAATTGTACTGAAAACAATGTGGTATGGTGCAGTGACATTTCCTAGTTAATACTATTATTAGCCATTTTACTTAAAAGAGTTCAAGTTAAAAGAGACATATAAAACTATAAAAGAGACATGACATAAATGTAAATGAAAATAAATGTAATTTTATATTTCGAATATATTGTGCCGTGACTAAACCCATTTGAATCAACATCTGTATAATTATTATACTGTACACGCAGTTTCCTTCTGTTATTAATTGAGAGAGAGATTTAAAAAATCTTTTGCAAGTATAATTTATTGACTTGATGCATTATAATTGGTCACTTTTTAATCCAAGCTTGCAATATTTGGAGAGAATGTCAGCTTTATGTTAGCTGTAAACTACTTAACTGCGGCAAACTCAAAACTGCTGAATTTAAACATTAACCTGACCTGTAGTAACCAGTTTTAACTCACAATGCTATCTGTGTTCTGTTTTATCAGCACCCTGGACAAACATTTACACACTTTATTAGTAAGTGAAGAGGTGAGGTTCGATTATAGTTTAAAGGGGAGATTTTAACCTTAACCTGAATTTTATTGGACATTCAAGTGGTGATAACCCCCCCCCCCCCCCCCCCCCCCACAAATATTTAAAATTTCTCATGAAATTTATGAATTCTTTTATTTTTGTTTCTAAATATCATCTACATTTTTATGCTCTTGTCAGCCAATAATTCAAAATACATTGTTGTTGGCACAAAATATGGAGCTGCATTTAACCAGTGGACGTGTAAATTCAGTTTTGGTGCGACAAAACATAAGTCAATAATTTTTAAACAATCTTTAACAGTACATTGATTATATGTCTATGTTAATTAATATTTTCAAAATCATAAGAAACATTGAGACACACAGAAACATTGCATTCAGGGCTAGACTTTCACAGAAACTCTTCTATTGGTTAGACCTGTTTGTCACATCCTAAAGAAAAGGCCATTCAAGGAAGTATGAGAGTTTTTCCATCTCTGGTGACAAGTATTGAGATGCTTGACAATACTTACGGGTCATGGTTCAGTACTGTATTACATGCAATAATTAGCTTTTTTGTTTTTAGGTGTGAACTTATTAACTAACATCACATTAAACTTTTCCTTCAGCACAGCTTCTATTTCACAGTCAAGGATTTCCTTCATGTCCACCATGTCACAGTCCTCCTCGGGGTTGTATGTGATCTCGCTGTAAGTCCAGCCAATCAGAGCTCTGAAGCCGTTGGGCGTCTGAAGGGAGCAAATGGACTTCAGCACAAACCGAGAATCAGGACTGGTCTGCAAGCAATCCAGGGTCTCCACAAAATGCTCTTTATCACGGGGTGTTAATGGAAAGCAATACATTTTCTTCGTCAGGCGCCTGTCAATGAGGCTGGAATGAGCATAGGCCTTGTCTTTGACCACTTGCTTTCTTGAAGTCTTCTCCAGAACCCACGTCATCCCATCGTTTAGCAGGCGGAACACACCTGGAGGCTGCGGCTGATCTTTACCCGAGATCATCTCTAAGGGATACCACAGTTGGCACGACACTCCATAGCTCACGTCGGTAATGTAAGGCTTCCCATCAATCTCCACCATATTGATGAGATGAGAGTCCACAGGGTAGAAATCATTTTGGAACTTATTAAACACCTTTGAGCCTAGTGTGGTGTATTTGTAACCCATCTCCTTTAGGACCCATGAGAACAAGAGGTTGTTTTCACAACACCAGCCTCCACGATTGCTTTTGACTATTTTATCATAGATGATGTTCAGGTCCGTCGTGTTCTTCTCCCCGCAGTGGATGCTGAGGTTCTCAAATGGAATGGTCATAACATGCAGCTTATGGATGGTGCGTAAAGTGTCCAGATCAGGTTTGTCATATGGTCCAGTAAACCCAATCCTGTTTAAGTACCCTCTTAGATCCATTAGATTCCTTCAAGAAACAATGCAAAACTATAAAATATGAATTTCCCCTCTTATAAATTACTATTCAATGCACAGTGACAACTAATACTCCATTTGTAGGTTAATTTTCCTGAAAAGTATAAATACTGTGTGTCTGTGCTGCTACCAAAACATTGCTCCATTTGATCATCCTAAACCAAGGTTAGGGTTAATTTGGGGCAGGACCAATTGTAGATATGGGGTGTGTGGGTCATTTGTGTATCCTGTCATTTGTGCCTCTATTATCTTTCTCTTTGAGAACGGGCCTGTCACAATACCCACACTTGCTCTCTTTGCAATTAACTACTTGTCTACTTTCACATTGTATTTCCTATCTTTGGCCCAAGTGTTCAAGTGAGCAAGAAGACCGCAAGTGTGTGGAATGTAACATTTTCAAAGACCTTTGTTTATACATTTTGATTTTCAGTACTTTGCCCTTTTAGAATAAACTTTTCAATGTCTATTCAGATATGTAACAAGTTAAAATTTATTTAGGTGCTTCTACCCATAATTACGAGATTAAAAGCAGTTGCAAATGTTCTACAAAATATACATACAGTACTTGTCTCTACACATACAATGTGCAACACTTTATGTTTTACCACCAAATTATACAGTATGTAATATTTAATTAATTTAACATAGGCTTAGCCTCAAATACCACTCTGAGCGATATCATTAGAGAAAGTGTGAATTTAGTGTATTTAGCTCAAGGGCACTGAGCTTTGGCTTTTTTCAGACATGGGACAGTTTTGCACACTTATTTCCTGTCATGTGTATCTCAAGTGGCCAAGACCACAAGTGTGGGTAATAGTACAGGCCCAATGATATATTTTCAAAACCAAAATGGCCATTTCCTTATCAGGGGAGGCAAGATGAGCATGTTTCAATCACTTGCCGACTTGCTAAAATCATGAAGGCCCACCCCTAAATATAGACCCAAATCGGCTAAAAATAGTTTAAAATTCGCCCATCATAATTCGCAAATATGTTCTATTATACATCAGATCCAATCAACAGCATGCCTGATTACCAACTATACATTGTGGATGCATCCGCTTAATTAGCAACAAATGATGTGGATGTGATATTTTAAAACTAATTTGCATTTGTTCATGTAGATTGCCTGTCCACTATGTAAAGAGAGAATTGTCAGCTCTTATTTGGTTCCTTTCTCTGGCTGCAGCCGTCTACCCTCATCTACATTCAAGGCAAGGTGTTTGTCATCTCAAACAAGCTTATTGTGTTTGCAGTTGTGTCTGGTAAAGCGGGTTGCTTGGCTTCAACAGATTTTACCCATTCTCTAGTGTTACACTGTTTAAGAATAATGTAGGAACTTGAAATGTTAAATCTGCTGCACACAACAGAAAACAAACCTCTTGCTTTTTACATTTTATTTTTAAAATATTTTTACTTCTACAGTAAAGTTACCTTGTTTTCTAATGGAAAACAAGAAAAACAATACTTGTTTGTTTATATTGTTTTGATATTTCTACTGGAAAACAAGACAAAAAATACTGAAAATATGTTTTGCAAGATAACTAGATAACAGTTTTTAGAACAATATTTTACTTATCTAAACAAGAACATTTCCTACATACTATAGTCACTAAGATTATATTTCATATTACATATTTCATAAACAGTTACTTTATATATTACATAAATTAGGTGTAAATAGGACGCAAGGATGAAGTTGTGAAAGGCATAGACAGAGTAAGAAGATTTGGGAGTATGGAACTTACAAGATGAAAATATACAATGAGAGGCAATAAGAAAAAAGTTTAAGGACATATTTAAAGAATGGTAACACATCAACAGAAATATGAACAAAAAATAAATAAATACAAAATAATAGAAGAAAAAACCCTCTTACCCTGAGATGAAGCCAGTGGGTTGTCAAGTGAATTTGCTAGTGAGAAGCAAAACAAGTGTCACAAAGACTCTGAGTGAACATCTTCAGAGTGAGGGACTGGATGTTGAATAACCAAGAGTTAACCCTTGAACCACAATGCAGTGTCACAGGTTTAAATAAATGAATTATTAAAGACATGAGCTGAGAAAAAATCTTTTAAATATGTCTAGTCAGCATACTTACTAATGTGTGTCAAAGTATATAATTATTTTATTGTGTGTTATTAAAATAAGTTTTTTTTTTCATAAACAGTCTCCGAACAAGTGAAATTAACAAAAATGAACATCACAGAATATTCCGCCATGATGATCATAAATGAATGTTCCGAAGTGAAGTAAACTTTACCGGATTTCCCCTGCTCAGGGAGTAGGAAGCAGTGTAGGGACCATGTCAATCGGAACAAAGTTCATGCACGGAGCTCACTTCTAACAAGCTGGTTATGTGAATCAGGTGTGTTAATTTAGAGAGACATGCAAAATATGCAGAGCGGAGGGGTGCGAGGACTGGAATTGAGAACCGCTGCCCTGAGTACATGTCATCGTAGGGAAAAAGTCCCACCCATTTGTGACGATCTCTGCCCTATTAGCATAGACACAGCCCTGAGTGAGAAGCAGCAGTCCATCATTACTGTTTTTTTTGTTTTTTGTTTTTTTGCTGTAGCTGTAGCTGCTTGAGATAAACAATGTCAGCGCTAAAGAGGCATTACAAGTGTTGTATTTTGGGATGCACCAACAAACATAGGAGTCTCCATAGATTCCGTTCATCTGAGTCGCTGAGGACACTGTGGTTAAATTTCATTTTCGAAGGAAATGTCCCAGAAAAAAATCGGTAAAGTCCCCTGTGTTTAGGGATCAGTACCAACACTCTGTGTGCGAACGTCAGCTCCAGACAAAGTATTATGCATTTGTTTTCTAAATTGCCTTTCTGAAAGAGCTGCTTGGCATTCTGTAAGGCTAATGTTGCTAAATGCTGATGGCACCTATTCACTACAGAGGATTCATTGGTGAGCAAGTGATGTAATGCTGAATGTTTAAAAAATTTGTTAGGATGAAGAACGTCTCCGGGTTACGAATGTAACCATGGTTCCCTGAGGGAACTCGAGCTGCGTCGAAAACGCTTTGGGAACACCTTCAGCGTGACCATGCTCTGAATCACATATGAAATCAGTCCAATAGATGGGCGAGACGTCATGGGCGGGTGACGTTGCGACCAGGAAGCTAAAAATGCACGTGTGGTGGAACCGGCGTCAGCTTCTAGGAATGAAGCAAGTGCTCACAGGGATGCCGGAAGTATGGCACTGAGACACAGCGTCTCGTTCCCTCGGGGAACCATGGTTACATTCGTAACCCGGAGACGTTCCTCTTAAGGAACACGAGCTGCGTCAGAAAACGCTTTGGGAACGAGTATGCCCACGCGGCCAGACTTACAAATCCCTGCCTAGTGTGGAAGAGCACAGCTAAGGCGAGAGAAAGGAGCTGACAAAGCAGTGGCTACCTGACAAAGTAGGCGGGGACATCCTGCAGCGTCCCGAAGGCCAACTTCAGAAGGAATGAGCCTTGACCCCTAAAGGAGAGGGGAGATCAGAGGACTCGAGGCTATGAAAAAGCATCCTGATCCACCACTTAGCATAAGCTTCTCTGGCCAGAGGCCTCAGCACACCGTGGAGAAAACGTGTAACTACGGGGTGTCTGCCCACTGACTGGCCACCGACACGTAGACTTCAAGGTGGAGGGGGTCAACCCTGCAGAGAATCGGGCCTGCAGGAACTCCAGCACTGTACCAACTGGGCAGTAAACTGGGTCAAGCTGGCGGTCTCCGCACCAAGAAGTGAAAAGTTTCCACTTCAGGGCATACAGTTTCCTCGTAGAGGGAGCTCTGGATTGGAGAATGGTCTCAACAACCTCGGTTGAGAGACAGGACGCTGCGGGTTGTGCCCCCCAGGGGCCAGACCAACGCTTCCACAGCTCCGGGCGGGGGTGAAGATAGTATCCTCCGCCTGTGAGAGGAGATCCCTCCTGACGGGAATCTCCCGTGGAGAGACCGCCGCTGTGTCATCACATGGCGACCTCTTAGGTCTGGGAGAAAGTGTTTCAATGCTTCAATGTGCAGACGTGCCTGCATCGTGGTCGAATCCCACACCACACCCAGATAAGTGGTTCTCTGTACTGGAGAAAGCACACTTTTCTTGGCGTTAAGTCTAAACCCCAGCTTTTTCATGTGAGCGAGAATGACATTTCGATGCCGAGCCGCCATCTGCTCAGATTGAGCTAATATCAACCAATCATCGATGTGGTTGAGTATGTGGATGCCCTGGAGTCACAGAGGAGCCAGAGCAGCATCCACACACCTCGTGAAAGTGC